CTGCCCCAGCCCCGGCAGGGTGGGCGCTGCCCCAGCCCCGGCAGGGTGGGCGCTGCCCCACAGCCCCGGCAGGGTGGGAGCTGCCCCACAGCCCCGGCAGGGTGGGCGCTGCCCCAGCCCCGGCAGGGTGGGAGCTGCCCCACAGCCCCGGCAGGGTGGGCTCTGCCCGCCGCTCACCCGCGGAGCCCCCGCGCCCGCCCCGCGCCGCCGGCCAGCGAGAGAACTTGGGCGTCCGCAGGGCAAAAGGAGCGCCCGGGAATGCGGGCAGGGAGCATCACCCCTCGGTCTGGGGGAAGGGGAAAAGCCACAACTGTTCAGCGAGGTTTTGGTTAGCTTCCCGCAAGTTACCTGCTGCTGCTGGCTGGTGGTTACTTCGCTGTGCAGCGTGGATTTTTTTTTTTGTCTCCCAGTCAGACACCCTGTAAATCTATATGACACACACAGACACATATGCGTTTTCCCTTGTCTGTGCTGAAGCTAGGCGTTTTTCTGTGTATATTTGAAAATTACGGGACGCAGACCACGCTAATGTTTTAATAACACAGCTCGAGTGTGAATGGTTTAACAAGAGATGCAGACAGAACTGGTTTTCTGTAGAGGCTCCAAGCTTGAGCTAGAGATTTTTAAAAATTGGTGCATGTCTTCTGCACAAATACGTGGCTGGTTGCTGTGATCAGTTAAGTAGTATAGTGAGGGCACAGATGCACAGAAATGATATCCTATTTTATAAGTTCAAATGTGTGTAAATAGCAGTCACTGTATAAACTGTAGATAACAACTGAGCAAGTCTTGAATTGGAGCTATGTGTGTTTACTACTAATACCAGCTACAACTGTCAAGTTTATTCACACAAAAATTAGGAAGAGCACAAAGGAACAGGAATCATCCCCAAAGACACTTCTTGTTAAGGGAAGGTTGGATGCAGTGCTCTTGTGGAGAGGTGAGATGATGACTTCTGTATCACCTTGTCAAGGAAAATCAATTACCATGCGTCGGAGGAGGGCCTGGCAGCCCTTCCTCCACACTGCCCACAATGCTCATGGCTCCGATGGGTGCAGAATTAATACTCCAGAGAGGGGATTTCTAATGGCTTTGAATTCCTGATCAATTAAATCAGGAACCACCTATGAATTTTGGGGGTGTGGGTTGGAGGTTTTTTCCCAATGCTGATCAAGATGATATTTGAGTATTTCTCATGATTTTTAAAAACCTTTTTTTTACATTGCTTGTGTGTTGACAAGAATATAGATGAGATACTTGTGAGTGTACTTTAAGGAAAAGATATATATTAATGAGGTCAAAGACTACAAAGACTATGCAACTTTTGGGGCTCTCTAGCTTGGGCGTTGCTCTGATTGTGCTTGGCACTGGTTCTTCTAAGAAAAATATAGAGGGTTTTTTGCTATTTTCAGGTTTTATTACATGCAAACAGACAAATATAAAGACATAGCCATGAGCTTCCTGTTCCAAGCAATTTTTATGACATTGGCAAACCAAAATGGTACGATTTTTGCAGGCCTTGGTTTTATGCGTTGGCTTGAAATGGAGAGTGTGAATACACGAGGAATGTGGGATTCCTCTGTGGAAAGTAAAGGGCAAAGCAAAAATGCCTGCTTTTTTCCTGGCATCTGCCATTATAGTGTGTATTTCTGACCTTACGTTTCAGAGTCTGTTGAATGGATTAATGTGCTACAAGCCCGATGACCCAATTGAATATTTGGAAAGCTGTTTGCAGAAAGTAAAAGAGCTTGGAGGGCCAGAAAAAGTGAAATGGGACACTTTTGTCAGCCCAGAAAAGAAGACCCTGCCTCCACTCAATGGAGGACAACCCAGGAGGTCTTTTCTCAGGAATGGTAATGTATTAAATGTAAAAATGATTATATTTCTTGTGCTGTGTGTGGTTTTACATCCACTGCTGAATTATTTTATAGCAGATCACACCTCGCTCTGATTTTCCATAGACAAAGGAATCAAAAATTCTATTTCCTTGCATTTTGGCCTTTGTTTTTCTCCTTCCATAGCAGATGCTAGGCAGGAGAGGAAATTGTGATCACTCTGCAGCCAGGTGATGGATGTATGCTGTGTGAACGTTTAAGACATTAGTGGAGAGATTTGTTGTAACCCACTTCAAAAGTTTGCAAAGACAGGGGCAGAGCTGAATCAGTGCACTTGGCTTATATTTTTATTTGGTTCTTATGGATGACATACATACCAACCTCAGTGCAGTTACACTAAGTGGTTTTTCTAGTTTATATTGGAGCTATACACTAATTACTAAATACGATGCAAATTATAAACTCTTAGAAAAAGGGGCATCTCATAAAATCTAAGCAGATGTCATACCAATACCTGTAATTATTTTATTTGTCACGTTAACAAAGAGTAATTAGCTCATCTTTCAGTTGCCATAGTTATTCTTCCTTTCCATGCAGCATTTCATTTAACTAATTAGCAGGAATACTGTCTCTACATCTGTGGGCAGCATGTGTCACCAGAGGAGTCCTGCTTAGTGGTACAGGTTATCTGCACAATACAGAGCTTTTCTTCTCAGAGGCCACTACTGAACTCTGGGTGCTATGGGCAGATGTTCACAGCAAACCTGATGTGCTTGTAAAGAAACTTCAAGGAGTATTTAATATAGCGACTGCAAACGCAGTGTGAAATTATGAGATATACTTATTTAAATCTGTGTACACAACAGATTTTGAGTTTTCTGCCTATTTCTGCAATTTCCAGTGTATCTCACTGTTTTACAGTGCTGCCTGATAATTCCAACTTCCCGTACCGCCGCTATGACAGACTCCCTCCCATCCAGCAGTTCTCCATCGAGAGCGACACCGACCTCTCAGAAACCGCGGAGCTGATTGAGGAGTACGATGTGTTTGACCCTGCCAGACCTCGACCGAAGATTATCCTTGTCATAGGTACGAAAGCAGTCGTTTCTACGTGATTTTCTCTCTGTTACTTTGCCTTTTGGGTTATACTGCAAATCCATTGAATGCCTGTATGAATTTAAACACGATTTTTTCCATCTGCCCTAGCAAGTCGTGCAGCCCAGTTCAGAGCGTGAAATTGTTGCTGCTGAGGATGTAGCATCCCAACTGTAAGAGTTTCAGGGGTGACAGCGAGCACCTGCAGTTGTGTTCTGTAGCCTGGGTGCCTGCTGGCTGCTGGAGAGCTCGTGGTTTGGTTATGGAGCACATCTGCCAGTTTGATTTGGTCTTAACTAAACCTGGCTCAAGCGTTTTGAGACAGCAACACCACGTGAACCAAGTGCTCTTCCAAGGCACGCCCCGGATTGAACTGGAACACTGTTATAGGTACATTCAAAGCCGAGCACAAAAAAAGGTATTTCAAAACATTGGATAAGCCAGCTCACAAAGGTGATAGGGAACTGTTGTCATCTGTGTTTAGAACCCCGACAAGTGGTCAGTGTGTCCAGCTGGAGTGAGCACACACCTCACTAATCCTTTGCACTGATAAATTAATCCCTACATCTAGTTGGCAAAAGAATCCCGTGCCAACTTCATGGACTGTGAGCACTCACTTGGCATCAGTTAGTTGTGCTTTCTCCCCAAATTCTCTCTTGTGAGCAGTTCAGTGTCCTTTCTAAGCAACTTGTACTTTCCAGCCTCAGACAAGCATAAGTTATTAAAAAATAGCTGCAGTTTAAGTCTAAATCAATGTTTTATTCTGTTTTTGAACTGAAGTTCTTTGAACTAGTTTTCCTTGTCATCTGCAATAGTTTTGTTCAGAAATTTTGCTGCCAAGCCTAATGCTCTGAATAGTTTAAAGAGTTACAGCACAGGTGCCAGGTGATGGACAACTACATTTTTAATCTATAAAGCTTTATTTTTAGTAAAGAGAGATACTGCTTCCATAACAGAGAATGGTGTAGTAAAAAGGAGCAAAAATGTCTTCTCTGTACTACAGAGTGGACTCTCTAAGAACAGCGTGTCCTCTAGGCTCTGCATCCAGCAGTTCTCAGAAATGAGCTGCTGGAACATATTACAAACAGAAACCCTGGCATTTTTCTAGATATTTGTGGGATGCCAAAGGAATTCCTTAGGGCATTTGAATTTTCTTAAATCTTTTGTTTCAGAATTACAGATCTCGATGTGCAAATCTCTCCACGCCCCGCTGAACTATAAAGGTTGCAATTAGGTGGAGGAATAACCCGTACCTTTCTTTCATCCCAATTAATTAGCCAGCCTTCCTTTTCATAAAGGAGAGGAACTGGCTCCTTTTCAGTGACCGCAGAAGGCTCTTAATGCATTGAAATCCATGTAGCTCAATGGCAGTGGAGTGATGAATGATGGTTTGATTTCGGGGAGATAAAGAGAGATTGGCTTTCACCTCTGGAACTCAGTGCAGGTGCATTTGAAGTGGAATCCTTGAGCTCCAGCATGTAGTGAACAGACCACGGGTTTTACAGAGCTTTTCTTTCCTCCCATTTTTATAGGGAACATTGTAAACACTCCACAAAGGCTGTTTCAGGTTTATATTCCCCCTGAGTTCCTCTGAATCTCTTACGGTGTGATCTGTACGGTACCGTGTGTGGCATAGCAGCTATTGAACATTTTTGTACAGTATCAAGAAGATTTCTCCTCCCAAGTTCGACTTGCCATTGAGAAAGCACATAAAAACACACGCTGGAATGACTAAAAGAATAACTGATATACCAGATAAAAGAGGAAAAAAGAAAAAAGTGTACTATTCATTTCAAGAGGCAAGTGTTGCACGCAAAAAATGTGTTGCATGTTTTCCATTTTGTATGAAATGGCATCAGGAAATTCAGTTAAGCAGCACATTTATGTCAAATTACTGATAGCTGATCATCCTGCCTAGCTCAGGTTGTACTGGTCCCGTTCACTGTTAGGGACTGAAATGAAGTTAAAGACCTGTCCTCTGCTTCGCATATAAGGTGAACTTTTCTTTATTAATGCATTAGCCCAGGATCTTTTTAATGCTTCCATAAAGGTTTTTACAACTTCTTTGCTTTGTGAAATCTGTCATCCTTACAGTGAACCAGGTAGCTCCAGGGCAAAAGAGAACTCGCTCAGGAAGGTGGGGGTTTTGTTCTTTCTCTGGGTTTGCAGAAGAGACCTCTGCTGAGAGAGAAATCTGGAAAGCTGCAAACTGAGTGTGTGACTGGATTTCAGAAAAGTCAGGTGGAACCTGCCCAGGTGGTACCCAGCTGAATCACTGGAAAAATTAAGTTTCTAAGGAACTATGACACTGGCAAAACTAGATTGTGTTTAAAAATGTGCTTCCTAATATACTTTAACAAACACATTTTTAGTATTGATACAGCCTGAATTTAGAGATCTTAAAATATTAATGACCTGGTGTCATTAGCACCTTAGTTCAGTGTGGTTTTTAGCTGCACTTCGTTAAAAACCTGCATGTTAAAAGAATACACTTTCCTTTTGTAATCAAAGTTTAAAGGCTAGACCAAAGATAGTGCTGCCAGCAAGCAGCTGCCTATTGATTTGTTAAATCCAGTCCACAGCTAGATTTGAAAGTCAAAAGCATTTACAGAAATCTTATTATTAGATGAATTTATTCTGAATTTGCAAGAAAATTGAAATTTTGAACTGCCGTTGACAAAACTAGATTGAAACAACTGCTTCAGTAAAAATTTTCCGCATACAAATTTTCTCTTGAGACCCATTAGCAAACATAATTTTAGATGCAACAAGTGTTGCCTAGTCTAGACATCTTCTAGAAATATGTAGAATAATCACACTTTTCTTGCATAATGCATAATCTCAGAATAAGTGAAAAGAACAAAAACCAGAAGTGATTTGATTTTCCTTTCTTCTGAAGAGTTTGTCAGTGTGATTTATCAAAGAATCAGGAATGGATACATCATTCAATAAATTATAATGATTTACTGTAGGAAGTAATTTTGTCCTATCCCTTTTCCCTTATTTTATTACCTGAATGTTTCCCCTCAGAATGTAAATGGATAATCCCAGCGTGCTATAAAGGGATATATTTGGACCAAGAAAAACAAACTGTGTGAGAAGTTTATGGACATTAAAGCAAATACTTCATTAGCTATTTTCTGATTGCAATTCAAATCAAAAGAACAGAAGTGCCAAAGTTGGTTTTTTTCCTGCTTCTCTTTAATGACAAAGCAAAGCTCTCCCTCGCTGGGGTGTGAGGTCCATCTACTTGTTTCAAGCAGGTTTTTTTCAGCTATTTTATTCTTTTACAGGCTGATATTTTTTCAAGTGTCAGTTTTGTTTTTCTGGTGTCTTTGGCCTCTCTGTGGGAACAGGAATGCTGTTTGCCTTGTTGTCAGTTTTTCTGTTTCTAATTTTCTACACATTACTGGTATATGCTTTGCATTTTTCTTTCTCTTAAAGAAGAGAGAAACATATGGCTTTGTACGACAGAAAAACCGAGTGAACAGAATGAGGGAAAAACATTTTCCATTGTGACCTTGCTGTACCAAGATAAGATCCAGCTTTTCTTTCTTTGCTTTGCTTGTGTGTTTTGTAAACGTCTGTAGTTGTGGTGACTGGCTGGATGTTACAGATAAATGCTTGTAGAAACGTTATTGGATAATGATCAAACCTTTTTTTTTTCCCAAGGGTATAAGTGAACTGGGAGCAGAGGGGGGAACACTTTGACAATGTGCACATTTCTCTGGGCATTCTCTTCCTGCTCTGAGTTGCAGAGGGCAGGTGGAGCACTGGCACTGCAGTGTGGGGGCACAGAGGGCTCCTGCTGGCTGCTGGTGGCACTGAAAGCTCTCTGACAGTGATGCTGGAGCACAGGGCTGGACCTGCTCACACAGAGAGGGCCATAAATAGAAATAATTGTAAAGTTTATCCTGGAGCCAAAATTGTATTAATTATAGAAATGCCTAAAGGCTATTAATGGGAATAATACAGAGAATATGTTAAAGAGTTACATGATTACTAACAAGAAGCTCAATGTATTCATATTTACTTTCATTGTGTTGCCATATTTTTTAAAGTTCATAGGAATGTTATATTTTTAATCTTAATTCTTTATCTGTTGAAATAAAATTCAATGTTCTCCCACGGAATTCCCCAAACTATAGCTACTTAGTGCTTATTACCAAAAGATTTGGTTTGGGTTTGCTTGGTTACACTGTCCAGTAGCACACACTTTCCTAAATATAAACAGTTATTTTTATTCCCTGGTTTTACATGCTGGATTCCAGATTCTCTGTTCATCACATCATGACATTTCCTTTTAGTTCAGATATGATCTGATTGTTTTACAGGCATTCTTGCTTCTGCTGTCCAGCTGACCTTCACTTCAGCTTTGCCTCTGGTGTAATGTAGCTGTTTTCTGTGGTTTTGATACCCCTTTGGCCTGTATTGTATCTATTGAAGGGTCTCTTCAAGTTGTCCAGCAAGATGAACCCGACAAACTGCTTCTCTGGCAGATGCTTCAAGCATCAATACCAGAACTATGCATGGTTCAATAAAAGTCTTTGTACCAAATCACTATGGAAACATCTCAGCTGATTATTTAATATTTTTCTGTATTGTAAAATTAGAAAACCTCAGAAACTCATGCAAGCATGTTTAGGAGCAGATTTTATTAGTTTCATTTCATGACTAGTCCACTGATTTAATTGGCTTACTTAAGTAAGTATGATTCTTTCTGGCATGAATACAGTTCAGACTATCTGGCTCTGCCTTTGGATTCATAGAATTCAAGAAGGGAAAGTTCATTTTCTGTTCCTCTGCTACAGATCAAGAAAAACTCTGTTCCAGGAGCAGCTTTAGAATGAGGTCGAGCCTAAAAGAGTGCATTTGTTTTTATTTTGCAACTTGGTTTGTATTGGGGTTTTTTTTGACTTCATATTACAAACTTTATGATCTGGGAGATGAGACAGGTTTCCAGTGGCTGGTAACAGGTCATGCAAGGGCAAGATTTACTCTAATAATGGTTGGAAAATTGGTGCCCACAGCAAAGATTTCCTGTGTGATCGGGTTCTTCAGGTGAAAGGTTAATTTAATGTTTTGCTTGTAATTCCCAATAGGTGGCCCAGGAAGTGGTAAAGGAACCCAGAGTTTGAAAATAGCAGAACGTTATGGATTTAACTACATCTCGGTTGGGGAATTGCTGAGGAAGAAGATCCACAGCACGAGCAGCAATAGGAAATGGAGCCTAATTGCCAAAATAATTACCACTGGAGAACTGGCCCCTCAGGTAGAGTGTACCCCGTGTTCATGTTTGCTTTCCAGGATTTGTCCATGCTGTGTTAATGTACACCAGCAAGAAAACTTCTTTTGCAATATTGAATAAACCACTTCTTTTCTCTGTGAAAGGAAACAACCATAACTGAGATAAAGCAGAGATTAATGCAGATCCCTGATGAAGAGGGGATAGTGATTGATGGATTTCCCAGAGATGTTGCCCAGGCAATCTCCTTTGAGGACCAAGTAAGAAATTGTTTTTATTCTTAAAATAACTTACATATCTCTACAACAGTTAAGCTTGTTGAAATCATCAGTCAGATTCCAAGAAAGAGCATTGCTCTTTAGATCTCTGCAAGTACGTAATTACAGGTTGACAAAAGGTTGTTCTTTTGCTCTATGTTATATTCTATCCTGTCTGAAGACAGACTATTCTGTAAAAAGAAAATGTGACAATATAACCAATAATCCAAGCCTATTGTCTCAGTAATGAGAGTCCTTGCAAGATGAAGGAGGAAACATGAAACCTAACAGTGAATATTTTTTGTATCTTAGTGATTTAGAAAAGGGGAAAACATATTTCCATATATATTTGTTCAATTTAATCTAAAGTAAAATAAACATACTTAAAGCAATGCTTTTAATTTCAGGTTTATTGCAGTGCATTGAGAAGGCAAATAAAATATGAGTTAAAACTGCCCATCTTTTGCAAGGTTTTGTAAACCTGAAATTATGCTCTTTTTTTTAGAAAATGACATCATTTTGTTTGTTCTACACTACAGCTCTAAGGTTGAGTCAGCTGAAACTGTTTCCTTGAGTGTATTCACATGTTGTTTTCATGTGTGTATTTTAAACTAATCTAAAAATACTTAAACTCAGTGGAAAAACAAACAGTTGATATCATTTTCTCATGAAGCACTGCTAAGCATAACAGTTCTGGTCACAAGTAGAGGTTGCAGTTTCAGAGCTGAACCCTTAAGAGTGCCTTCATGCAGAGCATTTCGAAGTCCTTCACAATTGGGGCGCTACAGTTTCTGTACTTGGAGTTCCAAGTGGCACTGCCAAGGCAGAAGTAACGAAACAAAGCAGCTAATGAGGCATTTCATTAATGTGCTTTTACAAGGTCTTATTCTGGGCAAAATTTAGAAGACTGAATTGAGGAAATTAAAGGAAACAGGCAAAATAGTTATTACAGGAAATAGCGATGACTGCCAACGATATCTCCTTACAATTCACAAAAGAGGAGTCTATTTTATGAGTGAAACAGCAGAAATGTAGGCTTAACCATCATTGCCTTGGACCATTTTTTTTTTTTGTCCAGCATAACATGTGATGGTGTGACTTTAGTGCATTTCCTGGTGCTATAATTTTGTGCTGATGTTGTTTTTGATGAAAGAAAGGGGGATTTGAAACTGGAAGAAGTGACAGGAATTAAGTGCTTTGAGTTATCCTAGGCTCAGATTCTCTTTCTACAAAGGAGAACCAGTTAAACAACACTGGACTGTATTCTCAGAGAGTTCCTTCATTTTCAGTCAGTTGGGATTTGCTAAATCCTCCTCAAGGCCTGATTCTGCCTGAAGGATAGATCACTACCCAAGTCTCTAGAAAAATCTAGGAGCACTTCATACAGGGACACCTTCCAATCTTACCAGTTCTCAAAGAAATACTTGAAAGAAGGAATCATAGACCTTTCGTAGGAGCATGGGAAGGAAAATCTTATCTGTTGAGGCTCCCTCTTTTTCATCTTTCATAGCAGCTGATCTGTAATATGAACATATCTAAGGCCAGAGAAATAAATGCACAAAGGATAGACATATTGCAACATTGAACATCTGTGTCTGTATCAGCATCTCCAGTGAGATATATTTGGTGTTTTATCTTGGATTTATAGTTTAAAGAAATAAAATATACTTGTTTTTTTAAAATCCTCTGCTTAGTAAGCCATAATGCTCCCCACATAAGTAGGAAGGCCTTGTGGGAAGGAAATGGGGACTGTGAGCAGTGGTGGTGCTCACCTTCCCTCACAGGATGAGGCTGACAGTAACCCATGGCACGTCAGGTTATTTACAGTAAGCATGCTAACACTTCCAAGGCTCTCAGAGATTCCTCAATGGGAAGTGCAATTGAGTTGTGGAGAATTCAGTAATTAACTGTTGTGATAATTTGTGTAGGTCTGCAATTAGAGTTGCTAGGGGGGTTTTCCACAGCTTGCTTTCTAGCAGCGTGTAGAAGCAGAGAACAGAATTGGTCTCGTTAGCCACAAGTGACAAGATGATAAATAGTTGAAATTTCAGCAAAGAAAGTTTTGATTGAACAGTAAGATGATTTTAATTAGATCTGTTAAGCAACAGAACATCCTTTGAAGAGAATGGTGAGATCCCACAAAATGCAAATGGCCAAGTCATACATGTGCCTTATTCTTACAGAGACATCCCCTCTAGAACCCTGAGATCTGTTAATGAAAAGTTCTGAGTAAGAACTGATTCTGATTGTTATCACCCCATTGTCATGGGTGAATACTTATTCTTATAGGTGTTCCCTTTGAGACCACTGCAGTGCTCAAGTCCCTGAAAACAGCAGAAGAGTTTGTGTGACACAGACAAATTCTTTGCCACTGTTTGCACAAACACAATCTCCAAGAGTATATGTAGTAATGCCAAAAATAAATTAGGGGGGGTGGGATGTGAGGAGCAAGTTATTAAACTGAATGGAAATAGAGATGAGTAATGCAGGATATTGAGAGAGGCTGGAACAGAGACTAAACAAATGTGAGGAAAATTGGAAGAATGTAAACAAACCAGGCTACAAAGACCTGACATAGTTCAAGAAAGCGTGTCTGGTGGTTATTGGTCATCAGCAGTCTATATTGTTTTATTACACATATGTTGTTCCTGTGTGAGAAAGTATCTGGACCCAAGGTATCCTAAAGAGACAGGAAGTCAAAACTTGGACTAGGTATGAGCTGGTCAGTAAATGGTGACCCAAGAGAGAGCCTATACAGTTTTTGATCTAAATCATGTCACCTTCCCATTCTCCAGCAGTGCCTCTTCTGGAAAATGGGTGATGAACAACTGAACAGCAAGGCACAAAGGGCATAAAATCTGTCTTGCTCCCAAACATTAACACTATAGTTCCCTGAACACTATTTACTGAACATTTTTTGTATGTATTACTATGTGGCTTTCAGCAGTAAGAGCTGTGCTGAGTTATTGTAAAAATAAACTGATTTGTATTGGAAATGGTTTACTGTGTTACAGCAGAAAAGGACAGCTCAGGCACCTGGTTTCTCTTGAAAGCCCTTATAAAATCTAACTGCTGTGTTTGCAGTCATCTTTAATGCAATAAATTATTTATGCTAAATTAATTCTTTCAATTTATGGCTCACATAGCTGTTACTGAGACTTGACACTATTTGAGCTTTTATAGTCTCTTCATTTTGTGGAAAAATCAAAGGGGTACAGACACTTCTGAACTCCAGTTCAGTACCTGTCCTGCAGAACATTCTATTACAGAAATACACGGTGATAAGGACTGCTTGTTAAACTTTGCTTCTGATTGCTCTTGGTACTACCAGCACATTTTTATCCCTTTGACTTGTCCAGAAGCTGAGCTTTTCTCTGGGAAAGAGTGTTATTTTTAGTAAACTAGTCAAAGCAAAACAACTTATGCTAACATTCCCATACATAGGTATAGCTCAAAGATGATGATTTTCTTATTGTGTTGCCAGACTCTTGTGTGGACAGTAAGTTCTCAACGTGTTGCTAGGCAGAATTGTATTAAAACATGTTTCAGCAGGGTGAATAGAGGGCTTAAGATAAAGCAGTGTATCATTGCAGCACTCACAGTATTTCTCTTTCTGCTCAGATTTAGCAACCAGAAGTCACAAACTCTGCTTCCAAGGAATACCATCAATCTGGAATAAGTTTTCTTTGAGTTTCGGTTTTCTTTGAACTTTTTATCCAAGGTGAAATAAGGCATGTAGTTGTCTCTTTGAAAAGTGTAATAAGTAAATTCTCTCATTGGAAGTCTTAGATTGTTGCCTTACCCTCTCATTCCTTAATTGCAGAGAGCAGAGTCAATGCTGCCAACGCGTACTTTTAATAAAGCCCTGAAGTTCCAAGCAGTCACAGGCGTGGAGAAAAAATGAAAACATGAATTTTAAAGTCTTAAAACCAAATAGAACTTCAGGTTGATATATAGCTCTGAAATATATGATAATTTCTGCATTTTGATCATTTCAAAATCCTTCTGCATAGCAGTGCAGATTTAATACTGCTGTATTTAGCCTTTCAGTTTGATCCTGGGCATGAAACTATCCTGAATCACAAATTTCTAAGCTATCCGTGATCTCTGCTGAGTGCAAATGGTAGAAAGGTGTTTAGATTTCAAGGACACATTTGAAAATGCCAAGGAGAAAATGGTTTATTTACCATTAACCTGTCAGCTTGAAATTCAGCAAGTCCCCTCTAGTCCCAGCATGCTGAAGCATCCTAAATATCTTCCTCTCCAGTGCCACTGTAATGAAAGGCCTCTGACTGGTGTATTGAACTCAAAGGACTTGGGAAAAAACTGCAGTTTGACTTTCTGTGTAATCTCTCACATGGTTTTTACCCTTCCCAGGAGAAACAATTAACTGGATTTCACAGTTAGTTTCTGTTACTGCTTTGCTATGGTTTGTTTTTTTCCCCCTACTTTCAGCCATTCACGTGTGTAACTTCCCTTCCAATCTAATTCCTTCACCAGTATTAACCTTGTTAGTGTCAATAAAGTACACATGTAGTTTGCTTAAAATATATTGTGATTTTTTTTTAAGTAGTGACATAAATGTAGAACAGGTATTAGAATCAATGGCTGTTCATTAATGGGTATAATTTAATTATTTGATAAAATAGGAAAACTGGTTTTGTAGAAATTATCTAAAAAAATATTTTTGTCATATATGACCTGGGTGACAAGACTATATTTCAGTAAAAGATAAATTTAAATTTATATGGCAAGGAGTGAGGGCTCCAGGACAGCTGGGCAAGTGAATGCAGCCTGGTGGTGAATCTTATGAAGGGGAAAGGATCTGTTCTTTGCGAGAGGTTGTTGCTCTGGTAAAAGTATTTTCTGTATCACAGCCAGTGTGTCTTAATTTCAACTCCTCAACTTCCGTCTCCCTTCCCCTAAATCTCCACTTCACTGATCCAGGGACCATCCCCCACTGGATAAGTACCCCGTGGTCGGTGTGAGGAGTGGGAGGACCA